GCATCAACTATGTAGTTTGTTTTACAATATCTTATCAATTAATTTAGTTTCTTTTATTTTCGTTAAATCGTGGCTTTTCTTGTCATCTAAATTGTCCTTCAGAAAAGGTTCCAATGTATATTTCTGTCTTATTATGTCGTATTTTGTACAGTGCAAGATTAGGTGGTCTATTGTGATTTGTGGAGATTAGTAGTGGTTCCTTGGTCCTAATTCTTGTTTATTTATAGATTTCACGTATAATAATTGCATGTCCTGCCAATTTTCAAGAGTCTGATCTTTCCACTCTCGTTAGGAGTCGTCGCGAACCATAGGAGTAACGTGTGGTGCCCGTAAAGTATCGATAATACAGCTGGTTATCGTGTAAGGAAGTTGCGAACGTACGTAATTAATCCAAACGCCGCTCGACTGATCTCAACGCGTGGTAGTACACGGTATCATCGTCCGGTTAATAGTGTTACACATGCATTACCACGTTCTTGAAGCAGTTCCTTGATTAAGTTAGTTCATAGATTCAATAAATATCTTATTTTATCTAGAATTTCACGTGATCATCGCTATACAAATATTTATACTCCTAGAAAGATCGTCTCTTACGAAATGCGAGTCGCTGTTAAAAGTACCTCTTTCGTTCTTATTTAGTGTACTAACTAACGTTGTCTGTTTCATTTTCGTCTGCCCTCATCTGCCCTGGGATAAAGCGTTGCTCTTCCTTTCGTTACATTCCACGTGACGATAAGACACAGTATTGCTTTCAATACACTCCGCTTACAAAAAGTATCCTCGATGGTGATTCATTGTTACTAAGTGGATGTTTGAACAGCTAACAGAAAGAAATTAATCGCGGATTCCGCATTACCATCACGAAATGGCCACACAAATCACGGGGATCTCGCAGTCCCCTTGGATCGTAGCCAAAAAGTCGTTCAGGATATCGGATGCTCATTGAGAACGGATCGAAACGCATCGATAAATCATACACTTCGTATAAATGACTCTCACGTAGGTCCGCCGAATAATAAATTTTTACGTCTCGCGTGGTTCCCTTTCTTGCATTACCCCTCGCCGATGAATTTTTCTGTCAGCTGTTGGATGTAACCGTTTCTTGCCCGTCGTTAGAACAATACAAGAACGATAAGATTAATCATCGCGCGCCTCGATATTTTATATGAGTCTAGCTACGCGTTCTTTTCAATTAAACAGTTGAAAATCGCTAAATATTTTATTCATGACGAGCTTGTTACGAGACTGCAACGAGTTAAGGGTTTGATGAAAATTCATAAATACATACTTTCATGATTTCCGCATGGCTGAATTATAACGACCGTTTTAGATTTGTAATTTTATGCCCCGTTATCTGGAAAGTCGTGCACCGTGTAATTAATTACTAACTAAATATTTTCCCAAGGTGTAAGTGTACGTTGCACTTGTAGTAAGATCCAGGACCGAAACTTATTTTCCTGTATGAAGTTTTCGTATTTTCTCTTAGAAACTGAGCGAATACAGGGATCTACGCTAATCCTGTAAACATTCCTTCAACTTGTCATTTTGGCTACATGAAATCGTCCCTGTATGGCACAAAGCCAATGCTCGGGTCGTAAATAAAACTTTTATCGGCGATACACCCTTCCCTGTTAAGGTAGTTGTTTCGAAATAGTCACGTTCAAAAGTATCACTGGGGACTTTTGTAAAAGTAAAGACTTACTGCTCTCACACATATTCATAATAAATCGATATGTATATTTACACATAAGTTGGCGATACTCGAGAAATTATCGTGGCAATAACGTTGGCTGATACTGCGCAACTAAGATTAATTTCAGATTTTAATGAATTATATCTCAGCAACGGCGCGGTCAATAATTGTTACTTATATTTTAAATGGTTCATAATTTCGATTTTAACAACATCAAATTTTCGGCAAGTCCCCAAAATTGCATTTTGATTTAAATTGAATAGCTTCACGTGGAAATTTGTATGCTTCGTAAGAGTCTGTGTTAAAATTACAAAACTTTAATATCGTTTTCCATAAAATTGGCACGGTCAATTTAAATCAAAGTAGGCTTATGCGCTTCATATTTAACCAAAGAACAATCAAGCGAAAAATATTCATTAAATAAATCCACGGAGCAACTACCTTAAACGCGCATCGAGATAAAGTTCCTGATAGATATCCGGCGTCATAATGAATTCTTTTCGCGGTGGCTGCACCCTTTCGAACGACTTCTCGGTACGACCCCGCCCTCTTCGCGTCCGCGCCCGTTCGCCTCATTATTATTATTATTATTATCATTAACTATAAAAGAAGAAAGGGAACGAACGGCGAGAAGCTGGAGGGAGGCCGGTAGTAGAAGGAAGCTGCAACCGAGCCTCTCTCGGTCCGCTTGCATTTGCAACGCGAGAATTATCGATCGCTGGCAAGCATTGCATCATAAATTACTGTTTTTATCCGCGGGCTCCGATTTCGGGGCCCCTCTAACTTCCTTTTTCCTTTTTCGCGTGGCAGAGATTTATCTGAAATATTAAAAGTCGCTTCCTGCATCGCGAGCCACGCGGCCCCGCAGTCGGTTGGTCATTGTTAGGAGTCTTCGGTTCCGTACGTTTTTCCCATCGGTGTTTTAAGTAAAAGCTTCGTTTCGACGGGAATCGTCAGTCACGCGAAAATTGACGGAGTCGAGGGACAAGAAATTTTAGTCACGGAATTGAGTAAAGAATTATGATAGATAAATCTTACCCGTGAGAACGGAAGTGCGTAGAGGATCGAGATGTTGACGAAGAAGTGTTTGAGGCGTTGAAAGGATTTTAGGACTTTCGGATGTTTGCTATGCAACCCTAACCTTCTGTAGATAGAGAGAATGCAATGAAGAATTATTATAGAAGAATATTTATTAAACTTGTACTTATTTTCTTTAACTTCTTATATATCACAATTAATTTATGTATATTTACTTCTTTATTAAAAAGCCCTGTCACATGTACATATATATGAGTGACACGGGGACCAACATGTTAAATGTTTCGTAAAGAAACTACCTGTGGTAAGATTCTTTCTAGAAATAGCAAAAGATAATTCAGCCATAGCTGGGTTAAAGAAATTTTCAATTTTCAATTGTCATTTCACCTTGATGAAAAGAGTACAATAACAGTCAATATCGGAAATTAATAAAGAATATATCAATAATGCAATAAATTTCATGAAAGGAAGCCCAAGAAGCCCAAGAAGCACTTTCCTAAACTCAATTCGAAACAATTCGACAATTCTACCATGGATCAGTAAAAATATACTCTGGAAGCAGCCCACAAAGGGTTGATAATCTTTCTCAACAACCGTAATTGTTTTAAGCGAGCGAGCCCGTCTCGATCTCGCGTTTAATCGTCTATTATCATTGCGTATCATTACGGAGGTGAGTTCAGACCGCGAGAATCGGCGATCGACGTTGATGCGCGTTGTAAATAACAGTTTTTACGTCGTTTTTATATCCTCCGTCGTTTCCCCGAGTCGGAGATTTATTTGAAAAATTTTTTTAAAAAACCCCAAACCCCCCTTTTTCTTTGGCTCGTTGGCCCATCTCGGGACGCACCCGGCCGCATGAGATCGTCGTACTTTTGCTGAAGGTACCCCTTGCAGCAGACTACGTGGCGGAATGCGTTGGCGAAGTCGCAGTGGGTGATTTTTGCAGGGCCGTACCGGACCCTACCTGTCCTATACGCTGAAATATCTCCGCATTTCACGCCTGAATCATTTTCGGCGATAAAGTGGAACCTGGATAATAAAATGGACCGGCTTCTGGCGAAATGTTTCTGCACCCTCGAGCAAATCTCAGCTGAAAATTTTTTCTTACGCAGCTGCCTAGCAATGCCTACTATCTCAACATTTCGTTGACAGATATGTGTAATACTTGGTCGATTTTAGTTTGGTTTAACGAATACAAAATTGTCGGGAACTAGATAGAGATAGATAAATTTAACGAATGTTCTTGAGATCACGACTAGCTCTGTGTATCGGTGTTTTACTAGTCATCATCTCTCGTATACACTTTTTTAATGGAGCAATTGAGTCTCTGGAGGGTAAAATAAAGAGGTCGTCTGCAGTCCTCTGCAATTTTAATGGACTGCAGGATTTAATGCATCTAGAGTTTCTTAAAATGGAAATAATCCATTTCTGGCGATTTTAAATATAGAAAAAATCGATGGTATGTCGTAGATACGGTCCTGTTCGTACCGAAATGTGCTGGAGGGCCCCCTTTACGTTGCGCTGTTCGACAAGAAAATTTGCCTTCGAGCTTGAACCGCGCATATCGCGCGCACAAGTGTTCACGTATAAAACTCGCATGGACGCTGTTGAATACGTACGCGGCCACGATGGCAAGGCTGATTTATCGGTCGACATTTTTTCGGGGGATTTTTATTACGTTTTGATCCTTCCGCGCATACATTTTGGCGTCTGCTACCGCGTTGGACCGCGCGCGATCCTCGCTGCAAAAATCTCCCGTCGCCTTTTTTCCTTTCCCGAAACGTGTTCTCGTAACGAGTCACGAAAACGATATACGTGAATTTTTTTAACGAAAACTACGCGACGTAGTTAGACGTTAACACGTTGACTGCTAGAGCAAAACACTTGAATATTTCTACAACGTTAAAATTTCGTCTCGAGGCAATTGAAAATTGGATTATCTATCGTTTCTCATAGTATTTCATTTTTCAGACCCTCCAAGTTCACGAATTATATTCAGATTTATTTTTATTAACACCTTAACTTCGGAATTAATATTTTTAGTTCTTTAATGTAAAGTCCCAGTTCTGGGTGACATGGCAATCAACCGTGTTAATCCACCTAGGAAGACGTTGAGTGAATTCTTGTATATAATTTATTTTAGTAACGTATGAGGTATCAGTAATGTTTCGCACCTGATCTAATTATGACAAATAAAAAAAAGGATACAGAATGTTGTTTTATACGAGTATCGCTATCCTCTACATAGGTACAATTACTATGTCATTAATATTAATTTATCGCTCGCACATAATGAATGCGTTACATAATAGGTTCGAATTAACCACGTAAAGATAACTTTGACCCAAACGGTTCAAAATCAGGACTGGTACTAATTAATATTGTTACTAAACAATGGGTATATATTCTATGTACTCGACACAAGAAAATATGAAACTAATTTAATTATACACACAGTCGCTATACATATATACAAATCGCCAAGTGTAATGCAATCGTTGCAACTTAACCGTAGATATTTCCAGTAATGCAAAAATCGTAAAAATTAAGCTTCGAAGCACTCTGCGGAAACCGACTCGATTTCATAAATATAAATAATCTCTCGCGTGGGTAGCTGCGGATGATTTTTCCTTGCAAAGTCACAGAATTCGTAGATAGAGTTTTGGTGAAAATTTCTGTGAAATGTGTCCCTTTGTCAATGAACTTCCTTGGAAACGGCGTCGATTATCCTTTGGAACGTGGCGCTGTCCAAACCGCAGAAAGGCATGTCACGTGGAGACACGTACAGTGCTCTTCGTCTTCTTCGACGACGAAATATATCGTCGAACTCGTCATCCGTGGTCGGAGGGTTCACTTTAGCATAGTAAAGCGCTGCGAAGCCGCTGTAGATGAGGAGGGCTGCGGTGGCCAGCTGCAAAAGTTACGTTTTGCATTAGAAAATGGTTGACAACGGTGGCAGACATTTCCAATTACTAGGCACAGTATGCAAGAATATAAAAAAGTATTGGAAATAGTGTTCATAATATAATATTTACAGAGTAAAATAAATTTATATTTAGCTTCAATTTTTGTAGGTTCTCAGTCTATTGATTACTAAGTCGTTAGGATTACGTTGTTTATTAATTGAGGTCCCATATGTAAGTAGATATGATTATTATTAGTCTTGGTAGGGCGAGGTGAAAAGTCCGTCTTTTTAAAAGTTCCTGTCTGAACGCAGACAAAATATCGTTCCTATGCTCACAGAAAATTCATGCCCACTCAAAAAATAAAAATTTGTTGTCCATTTTCCACATGTAGACATTTAGGAAGGATACTTCTGTTATCTCATTTCTTTCAATACTTATACTATCATCTCACCAATCCATGTTTGTTTCAGGATTGCTTTTTATATTCAAACAGACCAACCACCACTTTTATTTTTTAAGAGAAGGGGAAGAATCGATCGAAACTTACTTGAAACACAGCCCAGAACTTGTAGCTGCCCTCGTTGATGAGGAAGTCGTAGTATCCGCCCCAATAGTCGACGTTGGAGTGCGCTATAGCCTTCATTTCTTTCTGATCGTCCATGTGATCGTCGTGATGATCGTGTTCGTAATCGTGTTCTTCCTGGTATCCGCGCCGGTACATTCTCGGGTGTCTAACAGTTGGGAAGAAGAGAACACTGATTAATCTTGTTTAAGCATCGTTAAATCCGCGCACCAACTCGGTGAACGGTTCGCGGAAGAGGGTTTCAAAATGGCTTACCTGTATGGCTGTACGGCCGTAACGGGCGTTGAATTTTTGTCGAATTCATCCTTACGCAGAGGTGTCTCGGTCTCATGAAAAACGGCACCAGAGACGCAAAGAAGCAGCAGAAGATAGCGACAGACTAAGTTCGGTCGTATTCTGTCTGAAATGTCCCAATGCATCTTTCTTTCTTTTATTGTATCTCCAAATATAATTACAATTTGTCCAGTAAGGACAAGCAGGTAACTTGTGATAGCAGGTGTAAAAATGGTGTATCTTAAAATTATTTATTTCGAGTTGAACGCTAAGATTAATTTGTCAATGAAAAAATAATTCTTTGTTGCGATAGTTGCCTATGAAAATAGATAATCTTGACATATAATCAAACGTAGAGTATGTACCCATAATTTCTCTTCTTCTCGTTTAACAGCAAACTGGTCAGGGAACCCTCTGTTTGAATCGGTTTGAATGGCGTTTTATTCCTCTCATTCGCGAACACGCTTTTCGTAGCACTTCTTGTTCATATCTCACAATTTTGCGAAGACGATTCACGTTCAGAGTTGGGCTAAACTCTCATTCAGATAAAGAATTTAACTAATGTTATTAGTTATATGTTAAACACGAATTACAATCAAATTATGCTTCACGTTGAAACGTAAGTTTAGCGGAATAACTACTAGAATAAATCTGTGCACAAAGTCTCTATTCTTTTATTCAAACAAGATTCTGCCCATCACTGTTCGCGGCTCAACTAGTTTATTTATTCCTCCGAGTTCATCGAAATCGTAGCACGTATGAAACCTTGCTGCATCGAACTTCCAACTACCGTTTCCTATCGGCGACGAGGACTCGTGATTGAGGAACCGTCAGTGATACAATCTGAGGAGCAACTGAAGAGATTCGTGGATCCAGTTCAAACATACTCCACGGTTCACGCGCACTGGTAACTGTATCAGCAGGAACGTTAAGCAAATCCAGCGTGCCACGCTAAAAGCCCTAATTGTTACAGATCTTACGTATCGTTTCGTCGTCTAGAAACACTTCAGACAGAAATTTGCTTATAGGTAAGTAAATGTCCTCGTTCATTCTCGTTCTTTCATCGACGGTTACATTCATCGTCCTGTTCCCATACAGACGTGACACTATGTATCTTAGCCACTTCCAATAGATGAGTCGAGGTCAATTTAGTTATACCACCATCCAAAAGAGATTCGAGTTAAAAGTATGGAGAAATTTAAATTATTCTTTACCTTCTGTTACAGGAAACTACGTCGTAGTAGCTTTGACGACACTGTCCTCGATCGACAATGTTTACCTCGTGGAATTTATTAACCCTTTGAACTCGAATGTCCCCTCTCAGGGGACGTTGGAAGTCCAGAAGACTTTGGTAGGGATCAGACAAGATAAATTCGTACACTTCCTTGGAGGTTTCCATTCAAGTAGCACGAACAAATAAATTAAAGTAGCATTACAATAAATTACATGCTTTCTGTGCTACATTATTTAATACAACATGGTTTCTTTTAGCACATTCTGCAGCAAAATGACTTCGAGTGCAAAGGGTTAACTGCGTTGTTGGTTGGAAGAAACAGATCAAATATATCTAGCAATAATAAGTAAAAAATAAATATCAGTCTATATTAATATACACTAATGTTAAAAAGTCTTTTTCTATGTTGCAGTCTGTTTCCAAGTACTTAAAGTGTCAAACGTATTTTGTTATAATTCGCGTCGCGTAATTCGCGTCAATTATAGCCTTTCTGTCTGGAGAACCACAGTTCCCACAGTAAAATTCCACTTGCTTCTCGTTACGGGTGTATCGTTGACTTTTGGGACCTTTAGCAAGGTAAACAACGTGGCCATGGTCCGGCATTGTCTTCGTTTCAAACCAATTTGAGCGTTTATCTGTTTTACACGTGAACCGTTTAGTGTCGAGCATTGAATGTGCGAATAACGGAAGGTTTTCTCCGTGCACGATGAAACTTTTTGATGTTGCCAGCATCCCCGCGAGGGATATCTAGGCGATGGGAACGCGAACGGGTCAGTTAGGCGAGGCACATCCTCCTGCGGTATTAGGCTACGCGATTAGCGACTCCTTAAGCAAGTCCCGTTGAAATAATACTCTAAACCAGCGGTAATTAGTACAATTGCGCGTTGTAAGTTCAGTTAGAAACTCCGTACGTTGTTGCTTGCATTGTGCATACATGCATGCAACATTGATCCAACGATCGACACGAACGATCCATGATAGACTAACGTAGTTTAGCACTTCTGTCTAATAACTTCAAGTTAGCTTGCGTTAGCTTGCATTTTACAACAAACAATAGTGTCTTTTACTTTACAAGTATCGTAAGTGAAATAAATTCGTCAGTCTTGTCAAGTTTGGTGAATTAGCTTTATTTTTTTAACGATGAAGTTTGTGAGCAATCCAGTAACCCTTTCAGACTTGGCGTCCACACTTCAGGACACATAAGACTCATACATTATCGACACTATCGTTTAAGACGAATGTTCTTATTTCTGCACATTAAGAAAGACCAGTTTTCCTCGAAAACTACACTATCAGGATTTTTATTTTTATTTTTTCCATAGTGATTTTAGCCCAAGTTAACCTTAAAAATTATATTGGTACGAGAAAAAAAAAAGAATAATTCAGGTCTGAAAGGGTTAATTCCACAGTAAGATTCGCAAGGCGAATTGCAAATGGCGTCGAGGCGCGTTGGGTGTTCCATTTCTTCGTTGGACGGTTATCGGAAGTCGCGGGGGAATTCTTATGTATTAAATGCATTATGCATACCCAGGATGCGCGAAAGTGTAATATGAAACGATATTTGGTATTCTCGGTGCGCGTTGAAATCGTGGAATCATACGTGAAAGGAAAACCGAGGATGAGATCCGAACGAGGTAAGCGTAATTGGTCGAAACGGAATGCGAGACTGTAATTCTTTCGATTCTGCCGATACTGACAAATTCCACCTCGTTATCCGTCCAAAAACTTGCGCCGTGACTCCTCGCGCGACGGTAAGAAGCAGCTATAACCGAATACGCCCGTTTCTCGGGAATTTACGAACGTGACAATGTCGAGGCTCGACGGCATTCACCACTTACCGAGGATTCACATGAAGGACCCTCTTTGGAAAACGAGTTCTAAAATTAAACTAACTTTTTCGGTGGCGGGGGCAATATGAAATGAATTACGAGAATTGCGATAGGTCCTTACTTTAATCATCTCCAGTACGCGTTTTCCGTAATATTTATCATGACTTTTTAGATTATATTTATGCACAAAGTTGGTTTCATTTCTGGGGTGACTTTTTAGATTATATTTATACACAAAGTTTGTTTCATTTCTGGGGTGAACCCCCTGTGCGATAGGAACTTTAAAGGTAGTCAGTACTGTGTCGATTTCTATTTGATAGAGAGGATCCTTCCTTTTAAGTGAGAAGTCATGGTGAGAGATTCATATGTATTGCATTTATGAAGTTAGTATTTTTAACCCTTAAATACCTTAAGTTTCAAATTTGATACCAGACTTTTAAATCGAATTTCACACTTGTAATAGGTTTGTTTTTAATATTTGATTCAATCAAATATTTAAAAAAAAAATTTAATTTGGAAAATCAGGCTTTCAAGGGTTAATATCACCTCGCCCTATAGATTCCTGCTAAGGATTTGGTAGGTCAAGCAATACTGTGTCCTATCACATTTCAAGATTGGTCGTTTATTAATTCCATACTCTCTAAATAAATAATACATAGGAGAATATTTACAAAACCCTTAACTATAATATTTACACATACAAAGTACATCCTCCGCACAGTAATTCTCAAGCTTAAGCAAGTAAAGTTATGTAACAGATACACGCGTATAAAAACAGTAGGAGAGCGAATGAAATGGGGTGGAACTCTCTTTGAGACCACTCTGAGACGTTATTAAACTATCAAAGATACTTTGGAGTTGCAGAAAGCTTAAACAAACATCAAAGATCCTCTGCAGTGAGTAAATAAAAGAAACGACAACAATTATTTTGCTCTCGTCAAGACTGACGTACCCATTCTTAAAGTAGTTTCGATGCCTACAATGCTTGTATTCATACTATTATAAATTTCTCAAATGGAAATCATCTATATGCAAAAACTATAAAATGCACACAGTATAAAATAATATAAAAAACATTGAAAGAAGAGTCAATATTATAATATTTGCAGAGTCAAATAAATTTCTATTCAGGTTCAATTTTTGTAGGTCTAATCATCGCTATGTTCGTCTCACAAGTGAAAGAAGTTAATCAATCGCTATTCTATGTAACCAATCCATACTTCTCCGCGAAGTTCTCCACTCCCTCGAGTACCCGTCCCGTAAGATCCCACCAGCTGGAGTCCATGTGCGATCTGGAGTGCGCGACAGCTTCCGCCAGATGATTGGGGAACGTGATCTTGTGTCTGGCTATGCTCTTCAGCACCAGGGCCGCGATGTAGATGATGAAGTAGATGCTGAAGTACAATGGAACGTACCAGAGCTTCTTCCCTATGTAGTAATAAGAGTAGGGCCTCTTGTCGAGCCTCTGGTCGTTCATTTCCGGCTGCTCGGTGTGATCGTGCTCGTGGTACTCCGGTATGTGATCGTAGATCACCTCGTGGTGGAAATCGTGATCGTCGCTGTAAGGAGGATGGTCCAGGTGGCCCGAGTACTCGATCGGTTTCGGTGGTGTGTCGCCGTTGTAAGACGAATCGGATGGAAAATCGGGGTAGTCGGAGTCGTGATCGTGAGAGTTGTAATGAGGGTCTGGTTTGTAGGAGTCTGGAGGCTGAAAATGAAGAGTCGCCAAGACGACATTGCTGCTATGAAAGTTTTCTAAAATAATATTGCAGGATAAATTTAACGCGTTGACTGCCAAAGTAATAATCGTGAAAATTCTTACGAGGCTAACATTTTGTTTCTATACAATTATAGATGACGAAATCTATAAATCTACATATAATTTTTAATAATAATAATATAATCTACAAATAGTTTTTCCCAACACCTCACTTTCAGGATTAACGTATTTATTCCTCGGTGAAAACCCTAGTCGTCCATAAATGGAAGACAGGACTCTTCGTTAAGGAAAATTCCAAAAGCGTCGATAAAAATAAATCTGAATATGATTTGTGAATTTGAAGGGGTTAAAAAATAAAATACTACAAGAGGCAACTACTCGAGACAAAATGTTAATCTTGTAGAGGTATTCGGGAGTTTTAGTCTGGCAGCCAACGTTCCGAGGTAATTTTCATGATTTGTGCACACAACGTACCTTGTCGTTCGTGTCGAAGTCTTGGTAATCGTTCATCGACAGAGGTTTAGAAATCGGCTTATCGCCGAGGTAGTCCGGTGGCTTGGCAATCGGCTTATCGCTGAGGTACTCCGACGGCTTCGAGTTCGGTTTGTTGTTGAAATAGTCTGGTGGTTTGTAGTCGTAGCTGTCCGAGAATATTGGCTTAGAGAAGTCGAAGCTGCTCGAAGATGGTGGACCGCTGGGAGAGTCATCAGGTGGTCCACTGGGTGGACCACTGGGAGAATCATCGGATGGGCCACTTGGTGGTCCCATTGGTGGGCCAATTGGTGAAGCATTCGGAGGACCATTCGGTGGACCACTCGGTGGACCACTCGGTGGACCACTCGGTGGACCACTCGGTGGACGAATAGGTCTCGAGACTTGTTTCGCGTCGTTTGCAGGACCTCTATTCTTGAAAGAAATGATCGATGGCGGATGGTATCTGTCTTGAATTGTTTTCTTCGAATTTAACTTTGCTATCATCTCGTGGTCCAGCGTCGAGTATCTATCAATCAAATCGAAGTACAATAATTTTGCTACCTCGAACACCTTTTCGTTTCATCACCTCTGAATAATGAAGTAGTCGTAAATGTTTTTCTGTACCTTACTGGTGAATAATTAGCAGCTTCCCCGTTCTGCAATTTCGGAATTTTCGGCGCAATGTAAACTGGTGACATCGTGATGGCGATGTGTTTGATGCTCCTGCCCTCGTCTTGGGTTCCATTGCTCGGATAGATCATTCTGAACGTGAACGGTGGAAAATTATTTTGCCATTTGTAACGGAAAACTTCATTTCGAGCTACCAGTATTTGTAAATCGAATTCAACAGCGATTAAATAGTTATTTTTATTTTTAAACAAGGAAATCTAACCTGGTGATCCACGAGGTCTGGTCGTTGCTACTATCTGTTTCTTCCTGGCCGTTTCGCGATACTTTCGCGTATGACATCACTTCTGGCAAACTCGTGGCGGTTGATAGGTCCACTAAAAGAAGCGAAATTAATACAGGCATCATCTTGTCTGCCGTTTGAAGATGAATGATCGAGGGACTCCGACTCTGTCTGCTATATAGACTCGTAACTGTAACTGCCGAGCGAGAAACTGTAAATGTATCGTCCAAGCTCCGATTCTAAATATCCTCGTATTTAACTTGTTTCTTAGCTTCCATTCTCTCCACCTAACGACTTTATAATAATTAATGGAAAAATATTCGAGTCCAACGTCACGATTTCTTTTTAATCTCTCTTAGTTTTAATTAATTTCAACGTTGCATAGATTCGCGAACAGACAAAACATCTTCCACGAGCACGAAGGTGCTAATGGCTTCGAACGAGGGTTGACAAAATCGTTCTAATCTGTTCCACAAACTGTAACACACCGTTACGAGGATTCCTGCATACCGAAATGTGCCGAGTAAGGAAACAAATGATCGTTATGTCCTTGACCGGAAAATTCCTGATACACCCAATAACTAAGAAAAGCTTTTTTACGTTGCTTTTGATTTACGATGCACGTATCACTATCAGAGGAAATAATTGAGGCAATAAGGAAGTGTTTTCACTTATTTATAGTTCCTTTTATTTTTCCATTGAAACTATGAATCCACGAACGGAGGATAATTAATAATTATCCCCTTTACGAATGTACATTGTGCGAGGCTCGCAATTACGCGCTATTTCCCGCATAATTATATCACATTGTTCTTTCGCAGCACTATCATTAGCTTTTCATCGTTTAGTAACTTCGAGCGTTTTGTATATTTGTCCAGATTGGACATTGTCGTGCGTATTTTGTATAGTACCTACAAGATCAGGATCGATTAGTGTGACGACTAAACTATTGACTTTATCACGTAATGGTAAGCATTCTATCCATTCCTCAGAGTCTAATCGAATGAAAGTTACGATGTTATTATTAGACTGCGAATCTTTATGCAAAATAAAATCTTCGCGAACGTACCTAGAAAAATCGAACCTAAATCGGAATTTATTGTATTCTGGAAATATTATAATGCAAACTTTACTTTCAATATTTTTTTTATATTATTGCATACTGCCTGCAGGTTTTGTAGTTTCTAACATATTCGAATCTCCTATAAATGCATAAAAATTCCCTGTCTAGTTATTATTATTTTTACAGATCGTAAGGAAAGTGAAATTCGACGTTGTAACGTAACAAAGTTGAAGATCACACGATCGAGGTACCAGCGTTAGATAGCAGTTAGGTTCCATATAACGAGCCCGCGGTGTTAGCATTAATATAAACGCCGGTCTGGTGATTTCAATGCGTGGTAAGAGTATCATCGACGGGCTCAAAGTGTTAATATAAACTATTAAACAACCGTACAGTATCTGCGAAACTTGCGTCAATCGATACGCTCGTATTTTTACATTCACGTTACACTATTTAGGAGAAAAAAAAATATATATATATAACGCTCCAACAACGATAACAAATATACTCTTTTCATGCGTTTCAACGTATTCTATTAACACTTATGCTTATTAAAATTACATCAAACTCTATTTAATATCTGATATCCTCCTTTAAACGTAGAAACTACGCTGTCTTTATTTTATATTAATCTATGAACAAAAGAGTGTACAAAATAGAGAGTCAACGTTACCCTAAACATTAAAAAGCAAATGTTACATTTACATTTGGAATCGTTACGTCGCTACATGTTCGATACTAAAAAAAAAAAATATTTAACAAAAGTAACGCGATATTTGACATTGTGAAGTACATGCACGATGGTAATTAAAGTGTAACCCGACCTTTGAATAACGGATAAATAAATTTTAGAGCATTGTGTACAACTAGTTTCATTATACAGATACGCTTGTATAGACTATGGTCGTGATTGTGTGTGGTTATCGATCGCAATAATTGTACGTAAAGTACGCTCGTAATTATCTGAACGAACATATTAAGATGTTTAATATTATTTTTCTGAATTATTGGTACAGCGATGTGTACCTATAACAATCTAGACTGTGAAATATTTCTTTGACGAGCCTTAAACATAATTTTATTTGAAAAAATGAATGCGTTACGTAATGATCGTATATCTTTTTATTTTAAAAACTTGCATCTCTTCTTATAATTACGAAAAGTGAGACAAAGTATTGTTCTAACAATCACGAGCAGTACTATCTTTACCCAAGCAATCTTGAACTAGATATGAGTATACAGTGTTTGTACAAGCAGGAGGCACGATGAGAAATATCCATCGCATTATTTCTTCATCGTTATTGCTTCATTTACAGCCATTGATAAAATGATTGCAAACACAGAGGAAAGCACAGGCGTTTCGAAACTTGTTAAACAACGAAACAAGCCTGTTTAATACGGAAAACTCTTTCTTTTCATGCCTCTAGCGTAATTTTATCAACGACTGTAACACTCTGCTTGATTGAGAATTGATTTATTATCGATAAGAAATCAAATCGAAGGGAAGAGCATCGAGATCTCTAGAGGAACTTCATTTCTTGTCGTTAGGTTGGCTCTCGACGGTGACGTTAGATCGATTTTGATCGTCGCTTTCGAAGCTTGGATTAGTCGTGCCGTTCTGTTTAAAACTATCTTTCGCTCGATCGCGTTCGTCGGTTTCCGTTTTGTTGATCCTCTTCGCGTCAAACTTTTTCCTACTCTTGTCCTCCGCCTTCTCGATCTTATTGAGGTTCTTCGCGTTGTTTACCAGTTCGATATTATTCGCGGGTTGTCTCTCTTCTTCCTTCGAGAATTTCGTGTTCTCCTGCTCATTCGCGAAGCTCTGATTGTCTATTCCATCCAGATCGTTAGACCCCTTCTCCTTTTCCTCGTTGCTGCGTTGCTTCTCCTCCAGCCCTATCTCGATGATGCCGCTCTCCACGCCATTTTGGTTCTCCACTTTCTTGGGCTTCTTCTTCACGATGTCGTTCCCTTCTACCTGTGGACGTTTCTTCAGGTACGCCACGTTGAAGATGTAGTACATCATGCCGGTGATAAGAGTTACCACCGCGAATATGCGATAGGTTGGTCGAGTTCCGAACGCTTTCATCAGATAACCGCCGATCAAGCTTCCAGATCCTTTGCCTGGAATATTAATAGTTTCATGGATTGATCGTAGGAACAGAAATGTTTGGAGTTCAACTTTGGACATCCATATTGTTTTGGTATCTTGAAAGTTCTATTTTCTAGGCTTATAGTCAATATATCACTCAACTGTTGCCCGGAAAACATTAGACATGTATTTTTTTTATATCGCCTAATATTCATGTTCGACGGGTGGAAACTACCCTCGAAGTTGTGAACGAAATACCTATTTAATTAAATTCCTAAAAAAAACTAGCAGAGATAAAAGAAAACGTTAAGTACAAAAAATATTTGGTTTTTAACGAACAACAACATGGACTAAATATGAATGGTATCAAGAAATAGGTGGCGCTAACATTAAATTATTTTTATGTATCTCTGCTTTTTCAGACGTTCAATTAAATAGGTATTTCGTTCACAACTTCGGGGACAGTTTTCACCCCTTGAACACGAATATTAGGCGATATAAAAAAATACGTGTCTAATGTTTTTCAATGCTCTACCTGTTTATCAGGTTTCATAAAAATCGACGTGTAACAGTTGGGTGATATTTCAAGTTTGATTTTATCTGTACGCAAGGCTAAAGCTCATGACGACAATATTGATGCCTGGCATCGTTTCTCGTTAAATAAAAAAATTGTCAGAGGATGCGTAAAGTAAGATTTAATCGATCACTAACCGACTCCATAATAAACGCCGCCCAAAAGTCCTTGTATCGAGCTGTCAGTGGTGGTGGTGGACAATTTCGCTGCGTAAGTAACAGCGGCGGTAAAACTAAGCGATAAAGTGACAGATTCTAATGCCTCGAAGATGAGAGTGTGCCACGGGTTGTATATCAACGAGTAGCCTGCGAAAAGAAGTAACCATGAATATCGAAAATTTCAAATTTTTCGAATCTAGTGACGATTTTGGCAGGACAAAGGGACCTGTTTACTCGATAAATTTGAATCGTACCATAGAAATTATGGTAAAAAGAATAGCATGTTTGTTACAGTATCAAGATCATCGGATCTAACAGGGAGGAGGGATGCTTACCACAGAGTCTTATGGCGTAAAAAATGAAGCCTATGAAAAGTACATTGGCATGGCCGATCTTTGATATGATTGGGCCAGATAGGACCAGTAATGGTATACCGGCTATACCGCCTACGGTTATGGTGATACCCATGAGTGATCTTGATCCTCCTAAATCTTGTATCAACCAAAACAGGAACGATTCGATGTAGCCCCAAGCGGTTCCTATAAGAAAAAATTGCACGTTATAAAACTCATCTGTACACCGATCGAACGTCGCGTAACTCGAGTCACGTAAAGAATTCAGATACACAAAAATGTCTGGTTTAACTAGAACGATCGACACCGAAAGACGTGCCGTTTAAACGTTCACGTGATGATGCGATATCGATGTGGAATGTCAATGCCACTGCAATTTCGGTGTGTCAAAGACTAGCGGAAACGAGCAATAACGAAGGTTGCGCAACTTAAGGTCTGTGTTCATTTTCGCACACTCATCGCTACGTCCAAGAGCGTTTAGGAAATCTACGATCTTTTATGATTCTTAAGAGTGCATTCTTACCTAGGATGAAGCAGGCGATGAACAGAGCGGCAGCTTCTATGTTCCTCAAAACGGTAAAAACGTCGCGAACGATGTTGCTAGCTGGAGATTTGAATTCCAAGTTGATGGCGAGCATCAATATTCCGGACATGAGCTTCAGCGCTGCGTACAGATAAAACGCAGGCCTGGGAAGATACAATTTTTAATGTAATTGTCGTGTCATGATCGTAAGTTTCTAGAGGGTTAAATACATATGAATCATGTGAGCCTATTTCGATTTAAATCGACCATCTCGATTTTATGAACAGCGATATCAAAATTTTGTTATTTTAACACAGACCCTTATGGAACATTCAGATTTTTACGTGAATTGTTTCAATATAAATCAAAATGAAAATTAGGAACTAAAAAGAAAAACAGGGACGACCAGGCGTCGAACCCTTCCAAATTCTACCAATCGCACACGACTCACGGAATGTAAATACATGTATAAAGTGCAACTGATTAAACCCAAATTAATTTGTTAAGATGTTTGATAAGTAATTATAAACAGAGCATCAGTGAATGAGAAAGATGTACCTATTAGGAAAGTACAATTCCGAATTTTTACCTGAAATCCGTGTAGCTCTTGCCGGTGCTCGCGTAATCGATAAGGAGTCCAGAAAGTGGCGACGATATCATACCGCCTATACTGCCATAAATTCTCTGAAGGCCATAGTCGGCCTTTTGTTCCCTCAGTATCGCGATCACCGCACCTTCGAACATGGCGAACGTGGTGCCACCGATGACACCTGCAAAGTTAATAAATCCGTGGATTATTCTTTAAGTATACTAGAAGTGTTCTCGTTATCGCTAGTTTCTTTAACCCAGATATGGCTGAATTATCTATTGCTATTTCCAAAAAAATGTCTTACTACAAGTCGTTTATTTACAACACAGGTGACAGTAAATCAATCAATCGATCAATCAATTTTTAAGACGAAAAGTTAAAGAAAACAAATCTGCGCAGAATTCATTTTAGCGAAGATCGAAAAATAAGTACCAGTTTAATATTCGATAAAAATAAGTTTTAGTTGTATAGAAACGAAGTGTTAGACTCATATTTTTCACAAGTATTAGTCCGGCAGTCAACGTGTCAATTCGAAACAGATTTTAAATCCTCTTGGTAAGAACATGAGTCATAACTGGGTTAATTAAATCGCGTAAGAAAGACCTGTACTCACTGATAAATACCCTAATGGCAAAGTACATCCAGAAGGTCGTGCTCACGTTGTATTCGACGACTGTGTCCTTGTTCGAACACATTTCCGTGCGGGGTGCGGTGACGATGCACCTTTTGCTGCACTCTTCGGTGCTCAGGATCCTGTAAGGCTCCGAACTCAACGAGTAATTGTACAGGGGTAGATTTAGGACGATTCTCTCGGTTTCCAGATCAGGGTTTCCGCACGTGATTTTCTGAAACTTGTCCTCGGCCCATGCTACTTCTTCGGACGAGTATCTTCTTCGTTTGGCATCGCGATCCTCGTCAGTCGCTTCGAGACTCTTCAGCTTCGATTTGTACGAGTGATGGTTTATCGTTTGACTGACGTTATCCTAACCGAAGAAAAAACTTAAATCAATGCAAAAAGTTCATTCCTTTTGTATCAGTCCAATGTAAATATCAATTGGAAGCTTTGCAAATACGAGGAATGGAAATTGAAACTTTGCAGTCTCAAAGGCAAATATTAATTAAAGTAGAATAAGACCTGAAGTAGAATTGAAGCGAAGAGGTATTCTTGAACTTTGACTCTTAGGTCTGGGTGATCTAAAGTACCTGGTTATATCCTAGTTTTATTTTTTATGTTTGTAATATTTATGAGGGTGTTACCTTGTGCGTTATGATTGGGTTGAAGGCGCAAAGGGTCCTGTTCTCATAGATCCTGTTCGACTTGGCTGTGTCCAAGGTTGAAGTTTCAAAGTCTTCGATAAATCCCGACACCATACATCCGAATTCATACAGTTGATTCGCTGGGAAGAAGTACTCGTTCCTCGAGACCTGTCGTATGGACGTTTTGAAGTACTCGTTGTTCTTCAATTTCCGGTGCTCCCTCATATCTTCGTCTTTGTTCTACAAAAAGGGAAAAGGTTCTCTTTGTTCTATCAAACACATACGCTGTTGACTGCTGTGACATTTTTCTTGAGCTCAACACTGAATGAACTGTTGGAGTCGATGCAATATTAATGCACTAGTACTAATAAAAGTAAAGTTATACAAAATTCCATAGGTACAAAACTTATGAACAGCAATTTGTTAAATGGAAAAATGAAATTTTTATCTTGATCGTACCAGTTGATGCACTATTAATGCACTACTATTAATGAAAGCAGGAATATGCAAAATTTCACAGGACCAACGTACAGCAGTTTATTAAATGGAACAAT